GTAACGGGGGGGGGGGCCCACGATGGGGGAGCTTGGGGGGCAGGGCGCCTCTCCCCTGGCCCCCAGAGCTGCTGCACGGAGAGAAGGATGGGGGGTCCTCTCTCCCCGCCGCAGACCTGGGGCCGCCTGGACCCCAAACCCTCATCCCCGGCCCCACCACAGAGCCTCACCCCTGCACCCCAACCCTCTGCCCCAGCCCTGAGCCCCCTCCCACACCTCGAAAACCCTCAGCCCCACCCCACCACACAGGTACACAACAAAATTCATTCAGCACACAGATGGGAAAAATTAGAGAGAACATTGATCATGGCTCTTGTGCAGTACTGGGTGGGGTGAGAATATGTGAGCACTGTGTTGTGCTTCCTCTCACTCCATCTGAGGCTTAGGGACAGAATGACCATATAAGTCTAGATGGAACAAAATTTGGCAGAAGAAAGAATTGTATTAGTCACTCTCCCCTTCCTCTGACTGAGAAACATCCAGTCATCTTAAGGGAAGAAGGTGGTAAGACAACAGGAATTGGCACCTGCCTGAGGGAGAAGACAAATGATTAGATGTGTGCTTCCATTAGGCCTTCCAGAATACTTAAGTTTATTCCACCTATTTCCGTGTCCCCAGCCTGTGGAAAAATAGAAGAACAACCCTCTGATGTTTGGACAGTTTCAGTGTGACTTTTTTTTTATTATCATTAGTCTGATACTTTGTATTCTCATGGTCCACACCTCTGCTTCTTAAGAGAGTAAGGAAGCCACATGCCTGGTTTCTAAGCAAGGGAGAATTCCTGATTGATTGTTCCACTGAAGCATTTATGAACCAAACATCTCCTGTGGAATTCTGCTGGGTTGGTGACTTCCAACCACTCATGTCTACAACATGCCAGAAACAAGTTTCTTACTCTCTTCCTGTGCCTTATCTTCCTCATAGCCCAACCATGCTGCAATTTCTCCTTCTCACCTGACGCAGAGGGAAACTAAACAGCTTTTTTTTCTTTTAGGCCCTGACACCCTTCCCATTCGCTGCAGGTCTCTGCTCTGGGGATAAGAAGCAAGACTATTTGGTCCTTCGATGGGCCTTGCCAGTTATTTGATCACACCAGTCCTTGCCTGACTAAGGGACAGGTCTACTTTTCAACATCAAGCGCCTGTTGTCTGTTTCTTGTCCATTCATTCTCTGCATTACAGGGGAAGTAGTAGTGATAGGCCTCCACACAGCTGAGGGCATACCACTCTGGCCAGCAAAAAAGTACTGGGAAGGAGTAAGAGGCTAAAGGGGAAAAAAGTGAACCATGGTCCCAAAGAGCTTTAGAAAAATGGCAGGGTACTCAGGAGAACTCTGAGCTGCTGCTATGGAGACAGGAAGTTCTAGGGAGCCCGCAGCTGTCAAGTCCTTATGAGAGGAGGAACAGCTCACTGCTGAGTTCAGCTCTGAACTTCCTCTAAAGATTATGGTCCATACTCTCGGTAAAGGGCATCTGAACTATGAATAAGTGGGCTTGGAGAGATTAGATTTTTATCACTAAATATCAATTTCACCATAGACACACAAACCAATGACAAATATTTCCATTAATAATAATAATAAAAATTTACAAAGAGGCAAAGAAACAAAAATGCTGCTTGAGAACTAAGTCTGATTTAATATTTACTTTGTATATTTAGACATTTGATGTTGACACTGTTTTAATGATTAGAAAGCTTTAACTTTCTGAATCTCAACATCTGTCATTAATTATTGTGCGAATCCCTCCAGTTTCCCACAACTTTGAAAATTTAAATATTTTTAAATGCTTAAAAATAAATATCAGTATCAGTCAAAATCATAAAAAATATAAATTAAATTTGGCAACGCCTATGGACAGGCATTCAATGTGGGACAGAACTAAAACCCAGGAGTAAAATACTTAACATCAATACAAGAAAGCTCTGTAAGAAAAAGCTAGTCAAATACTAAACACATTCCTAGTAACATTATAAAAAAAAAAGAGAGGTGTAATGCTGCAAAGGACTGGCAAGGAGAATGGACTTCAGTTTTAAAATTTATAGATTTTAGGACTAATTTTAAAAAGAGGAGAATCAGAGGATATACAATGACAAGATTTGGCTATGGTCCACTAAAAGGGTAAACAGAGAGCCTGAACTAGGGAAGAATTGAGCCACAAACAAACAGAATAAACAAATTCCATCCTGTAGTGTTAGACAACTAGTAATACCTTGTTGGAAAAAAACAGAAGGGAGGAGCTTACAACATTTTTTATATAAATGTTTTTTTCATAAAGTTTACAGAAAAAATTTTCCCATAATTTGTGCTCAAGTAACGTATTGTGCAAAGGAAGGTGAAAAAAAATTAAACTAACAAGACTAAAAAACAACAGTAGATAATGTTCAGGCCAGTTTTACACTAGCAAATTATGCTAGAAAAACTACGTCACTCAGGGATGTGAAAAATTCACACATTCATTACCGCAGTGTAATGATGTCAACCTAAATCCCCATGTAGAAGGAAGAACTCCTCCATCAACCTAGCTATAGCCTCTTGGAGGTGGATTATCTATGCTGATGAGAGAACTCCTCCCATTCACATAGGTAGTATCTACACCAGGGTTCTTAAACCATGGGTTAAAAGACCAGTCAGGAGGTTGGGAGGTTATTATATGGGGGGGCTGCAAGCTGTCAGCCTCCACCCCAAATCCCGGTGTTAAATATATTAAAAAGTGTTTTTAATTTATAAGAGGGAGGGTCGTACTCAGAGGCTTGCTATGTGAAAGGAGTCACCAGTACAAAAGTTTGAGAATCACTGGTCTACACTGAAGTGGCACAGCTGTACCACTGTAGCATTTTAAGTATAGACAAGCACTCGGACACACTTCCTGGTCTCTTCCATCCTCTTATGCTTGTTTCCTTTTGCAGGTTTGTGCCACGAAAAGACATTTCACACCTCGCTTTTACTGTTAACTTTTCAGATCTCTATAACAGTGACTGATTTTCTTCAAACGTTGCACACAAAGTTCACTTCTGGCCTGGCAAACTTGAAGAATCCTAGGTCAAAAGTAAGTAGGAGTTTTTGTTTGTTTTTTAAGGCAAGTAAATTAAAAATTGGATTTAGAAAGGATTAGAACAGGAAGTGTCTTGTAGACTTAAAGGAACACTTGGGGGTGGGGGGGAACCCATTCGTAAAAATAAATTTTATAAAAAAATCTAAAGTAGTTCCACTTTTGATTGTAATTTCAACTAAAATACTTCTACAGCAAATCAACTTCATTTGCAAATTGGATACTATTAATTTAGGCTTAAATAGAGACTGGGAGTGGCTAAGTCATTATGCAAGGTAGCCTGTTTCCTCTTGTTTTTTCCTACCCCCCCCCCCAGATGTTCTGGTTTAACTTGGATTTAAACTTGGAGAGTGGTCAGTTTAGATGAGCTATTACCAGCAGGAGAGTGAGTTTGTGTGTGTATGGGGGTGGGGGGGATGTGAGAAAACCTTGATCTATGCAGGAAATAGCCCGACTTGATTATGTAAAGAGTTGTCACTTTGGATGGGCTAGCACCAGCAGGAGAGTGAATTTGTGTGGGGGGGTGGAGGGTGAGAAAACCTGGATTTGTGCTGGAAATGGCCCACCTGTTGATCATTTTAGATAAGCTATTACCAGCAGGACAGTGGGGTGGGAGGAGGTATTGTTTCATATTCTCTGTGTGTATATAAAGTCTGCTGCAGTTTCCACGGTAAACATCTGATGAAGTGAGCTGTAGCTCACGAAAGCTCATGCTCAAATAAATTGGTTAGTCTCTAAGGTGCCACAAGTACTCCTTTTCTTTTTGCAACTCTCTTCTGCAAGCGTTTGAAAGCAAAACTGTAGAAGAGGAGAAACCTAATTTTCCATTGTCCAAACTGAAAGAAATGCAAAATGAAAATCCAACCGTATTAAACAATGAAAGAGTTTTAGATGCTCACTAAGCGAAGACATTACTTGTAAGCAAACGTTTGCTACAACATATACCCTTTAAGTTCACAGAATGCCCCCTAAAATACAGAATCGCCGCAAAAGCAGCCCGGTATTGCTCGAGCAGCAAAAGAAAGTCATTTTCCCAGGAGGTCCTGCGAACTCCTCGAGCGAAGGAAACGCTGGAGCCCGGTTTTTACGCCCGCTCCGAGCGGGTCCAGCAGCGCTCGCTGCTTGCTGTGAGCGCCCGGGCTGAGTTCCTCCTCGCGGAGACCCGCTGCTGGGCAGGGCTGGCGGAAGCCTGCGCGCTGCCAGCAGGCGAATCACCGCCACCCGCGGGCCGCGCGCGTGGACTGGCGACACGAGCAGCGCCAGCCCGTCCCGGCGGGTCTCCGCCAGCAGAGCGGGCCGCCGAGACGGGGGCAGGGGGAGGAGCGGCGCGCCGGCGAGCGGGACCCAGGAGCCCCGGCACCTGCAGACCCTGCGGCTGGGGCAGGAGGGACGAGGCGCGGAGTCGCGCCCCGCGGATACCCCGCCCCCCCCCCTCCGTACTCACACCGGCCATTCTCCCCGCGGGCAGGGGAGGTCGCTTTTCGGCTGGGCCCCCGGCAGCGCCGCCTGCCGCTGGGAGCCGGGTGGGGAGCAGCCCCCCCACCCCAGGACCCGGCCGCCGCGACCCGCTGCTCGGCGTTCGCCTCAGAACCACGCCAGCTCCCGACTGGCTGTGGGTCAGACGCCTTCCCCCACCCCGCAGTGAGCGCCGGTTGGGGGGGGGGGAGGGCGGAGATGGCCGCTCACCCCCTCCCCGGGGAGCCCCTCCCCTAAGAGGTGAGGTGACATCCGGCTCCCTCCAGGCTCCCACTGCGATTGTGCGGGCAGCGGCCGGCGGCCCCGTCGGACTGAATCCGCGGGGGCTGCGGCTGAGAAGGCTCAAGGCGGAGGTCAGGTGCGTGTTCCCCGGCGGCGGCCAGTGACGGGGCGGGGCGGCGCGAGCCGCTGCCTGAGCGAGCGCAATCCGCCCCGCGCCGCCCCCTCTGTTCTGCGAAGCCCCGTGACGCGGTGACACAAGGGCGGCCTGACTCCAGCGCATCGTGGGGCGGGCGGGGCTCGCTTTGGCTTGCCGCGCACCGGGCCGACAGGAGTCCGGCCCGGTCTGCCCACAACGGGCCCACGCGGCCGAGGCCTCCTCTCGCCCCCGGCCTGCTGCTTAGCTACCGCGTCTCCGGCTGTTTCCCGTTCAGATTGCGGCTGCTGTCCCCGCTCCCTGTGCTCGCCAATGGGGGCGCGGCATCGGAATGCTCAGGGGCAACCACGGCTCAGAAACCAAGAGAGCGCCCCCCACACATCCCCCAAATTCTTAAGAAAACGACTATATAACTGTCCATACATTAGGTAAGCATGGGGGGGGGGAGGAGAGAGACCCTGAATTGTGCACGTAACACAAGCAAGGGAGTAGGTAGGTCTTGAAAAATCACCCCAAAATGTGTTATAGAATGTATGGACAGCCCCCAACTCACTAGCGATACCTCAGGGCTTTGCCACAACAACAAATATGGGCTTTGGCTAGATTAAGATGTAAAGGTTTGTTAGATCTGGTAGCTACTTTGATCAAATTTAAACACACCACTTGAAATTCTGGTCAAGAAAAGGCCAACTTTACTTTAGCAAATGCTAAACTGGTGCAGTTGAAGTGCTTGATAAAATACAGCATGCCTTGTCTTGACCAGTTTTAGGAGGTGTTCCTTAGAACAAGCTTGCTAATATGACCTAACAAATCTTTAAATCCTAGTCTAAACAAAAGCTTTAGAAAATCTCTTCTTCACTGACTTATATAGGTACCAGTCAAAACTAGTAGTCCTCTTAAAGCAGCAGCCCTCATGGTGGTTTTCAGTTGAAATAAAATGCTAACTTCTTAAAGGTTAGACTCAGAGGTAGTATGGTAGAAAAAATATTTAAGATGGGCTTTTCAGTGAAGTCAAAGGGAATTAGACACATCTCAACTCCCAATGAATTTGCCTGACTCCATTAGACTCCAATGAAAGTCTCAGCTGTAATCACTATTTGAAATCTAAGGATTCAATCCTACAGGATTCATATGCAATCCCACAGCTGTTACCTATGCCGATACCAAGATGTTTGAGGGTAGTTTAGAGAACTACTTCCAATACACTGGCAAGGAACAAGTTCTCCCAGACTCAAAGGAAAAAAGATTATATCTGAAGATTAAAAAGGCAAGGTGTATACATTATTTCCATATCACCTTGATATCTGCTCAACAACTCAGGCTAAAAGATGGAGCTGACAACACTGAAGTTCTTTGATCAAGAAGTCTAAATTGATGTTACGCTGGGCAGTCTTTAACAGTGTTTTATGGCATTTTAAAATTGGAAAGAAGGTTTTTGAGAAGATGACTGCTGAAAACAGACCACAGGTCCAAACAGGTATCCCTTTCAATACTTGCACTGGGGTGGGAAAGAGGGGAAATATTACATTGCACCTTGTTTCCTGACAGTCAAATAAATATTATATACACACACATCTTCCTTGTTAAAATGTTTAATATAATGATTTATCACTAACTAATGTTTAATATAATGATTTATCATTTTCTTACAAAAGCTTAGGCTCAAAAATTGATTCGTCTCTAAGGTGCCACTAGTACTCCTTTTCGTTTTACTTATCTATATAATTTTAATTTGAAGGGCACTTTGAACAGGAGTGTAGTTTAATCAGAGTCAGATCTCAATATCCACTACTTCTGACGCTTACAAGAAGTCTGCCAACAAAACAATGGCTAAATTTGGTAATGGGGGAGAAAAAAATCTATGGTAACACCCATTGTTTCATGTTCTCTGTGTATATAAATCTTCCCACTGTATTTTCCACTGAATGCATCCAATGAAGTGAGCTGTAGCTCACAAAAGCTTATGCTCAAATAAATTTGTTAGTCTCTAAAGTGCCACAAGTCCTCCTTTTCTTTTTGTGGATACAGATTAACATGGCTGCTACACTAAAACCTATCTTTTGATAGAGATTGAATATATTGTTAGTGTTTCACTGCCCTGCCACCCACCTCTCTAATTTTCTTGGACTATAAACACTTACAGATAGAGACTGTATCTATTTCTGCATAGCACCTTCCCTTTCTCACATCTCACCAAATCACTGTCATCTTAATATTTTCTCCTCCTCCCTTGAGATTAAGGTTTTTAAGTAAATCCTTAGTACCTAACACAATAGCACTCTAATCACTGATGTATATGCATTGAGGAGGCACAGTCTAAACCTATTTTAAAATATTTATTATTTGTATTAAATTTTATATGTACTTTAGGAGGCCTAATAAGGGACCTGGGTGCCATTGTGCTAGGCACAATACAAATATAGTGAGAGAAAGTCCCTGTCCTAAGAACTTACAATCTTAGTAGACACAAAAAAGTGAAAGAAATGAAGCATTAGCCCCATTGTACAGATAAAGAATTCAGGCAAAGATTAAACAGCGTGCTTAAGTGTGGCACACAGGACGACTGTGAGAAAGCCAGGAATTGAGCCTAGATTTCCCCAAGACCCAGTCTAATACCTTCATTTTAAAGCCAGCCTACCTCTTTCAAAACCAAGAGAAAATTATTATTTCAGCAGAAGATAAACAACAAATCATACTAATACAATAAACTACTCAAGATACAATCTAACAAGTCAGGAGACCTTGCCTAAATTTAGCTGGATACAAACAGTAACCTCAGGTACCAGGGCAGATATATCACTATGTACTGTATCTTGTACCATCAGATAATCAGCTGTTTACAAGCTACACTGGAATATTTGATATCAGAAGTTGGGTCAGTCAGTTTATTTAGTTACTCTGAAAATAAAGGAGCTTCAGGATCAAGAGTAAAGGTTAACTTACCTGAAGCTGAAGAGTATGACGGAGAATTGTTTCCTCTAAAGCATGAATCCACTTCTCTCTCTCATCAGCATCTCGAGCTGCAAAAAAAAATTTTCAATATTTTCTTAAAATCTGCCATTTTTTCAAGGTTTTTAGACTGAAAACCATGTTTTGTGTCCAGACTAAAACTTTTAAATTAAACCACACTACCTAAAATGGTTATCTAGAAGAGAATTCAGCAGCAGGTGAACTCTGATTTCAGTTTAGGAGTGGCTAACTTTGGTTTATGTTAAACTGATTAACTGACATTTTGATTTAGTTTAAGAGTATTCACACAGCTTTATACTTGAGTTTAAGATGGTTTAAAAACCACAACTTTAGTTAAATGAGTTCAAGTTTCTCATGTAAACAAGCCCTCAATGAAGAATCTGTACATACTTTTGCTGAATCAGATGCTTAGCTTCTCACTTCTATAAACTACATTTGACCAGCTATAGAGAATACACCAGGCTTTCCATTAAAATCTCAGCTCTTCAGGGTTTATAGTTTAGCTGTAAAAAAATCACTCCAGATTCAGATTAGCATATGCCATGTCAACATTAGTGCTATTTATGGAGAGTTAAATGGGGAGATTTTGAAAAATTGCCATTGCACATTTTAAGAGCTGTTCAGAGAGATTTTCTACCCTGATCAAGGTATTTTAAAATCTAACTACATGCTTGCATAAATCACATTTCTTGATCAGAAGGTGCACTTACCTATGCCTGTCAAATCAGTAGCATGTGATGAATTTTTAAAGGTCTAATCTTCTAGAGCCTTTGACAAATACTGTTTAAAACAATTCCTCTGCTTTACCGTTTTCTAGGGGACATGGTAAACATATGCCTTTTATTAAAGATTATTTACATGAGAATAGGATCTTTACTGTTTGAGTTCATCAGCTCCCATGAACATTCTTCATTAAATGGAATTAGTTAAATAAGACACATCCTAATCATTTCCACAGCAGCTATACATGGTATCACAAAGCTGTACAGTGCCTGGTGAGAAATAAGGTATTTTTTCCTATGTAAAATATATTACAATAAAAAATGTAAAAACAGAAAATCTATGACATCAACAGACTTGTATCTTCACAGAATATATTTTTCAAATTTTTCTGAGTCACCAGAGGCTCCAACCTGTAATAAATTACTCCTAATTTTACTTCATTATGGATGTATCATAACTTAGACAAATAAAGAGAGCCTGATCTCTTTTTCAGTATCTTTCAATTTTAAAATAAAGCAATTATTATATTTATTAAGACAATCCTGTTTAAAAAATTTCTTCTATAGAACCAGGACTCATACAATAGCAAGGATATACACAAGATGATCCACCTATTCCCGTATCACACAGCTATAAAATTTTTATTGAGAAACAGAAACTAGGTTCAGGTGAAAATGCGTCATTTTGCAGGCCATGGTGATCAAGGAGGGGCAATATGAAATGCAAAATGATATGGCAGGGCTTTGCGGGCAGGAAAGAGATCCAGAAACTGACCGAGGGTTATCACTACTCTTTTCTTTACCCACTTTCTAATACTCTGTTTTTTCCAGTACAAAAGCTTCACTGTACTTTGCTAGCCTGAAAGAGTTCCTTGCTGGGGGGGGCATGGATCAGTGTTCACATCACTCTCCCTGTCAGTACCCAAGCAAGCTAATGATCCAACCAGTGGACCAAATTCCATGATGAATCTTGGTCACGTGCCACCTGAGGCACGTTGTGCATACGCTAAAAAGTTCATTGCTGTGGTGGAATATCACAGCAACGGTACAGGAAGTGACAAGGACATTAGAAACTGGGTGAAGAAAAAAGGGTGATGGCGACTGGAGGCATTTAGTGAATTTGAGGGAGAAGAAGAGAAAGGAACACTGACTTCATGCCAATTACTACTCCCAATTGTTTCTAGTTCCTCATCCAATAAATAACACAAATAGTGCGCATGACGAATAAGACTACTTGAGGGAGCTTCCTGTTTACAAGGGAACAATCAAAGTGGACTAATTATACAAAGATTTTGGTCTTCAAAGTTTGATTGTGTATGGTATGCTTATTACTCAACTCAAAGAGTATATACTGAAATGTATTCTCCATCTCCACCTGTCCTCTCATTGCTTATATCCCTCTGACCTCTGTATCCACATGCCCACATCATGGCTGCTTCGACTTTCTGTCCTCCAATCCCACCTAAAAATCACAAGACTTGTAAGGGAGGAGTAGCAGAAGATGTTGGGGAGGAAGGTTTATTCAACCTATTCCATACAAACTGTATAAAGGAGTGCTTCCTTTGTCAAATATAAATTTTATTTAACATCAACGTTTAGAGAGGAGACAAGATGGGGCTGAGATATCAGAATTTGGATGCCTTGTTTCTTGCAATTATATGGACAGGGAATTCTGAGGCCCTCAGCCAATCAGTATAGAGATTTGCATGCTGTATTGTTACTAAAATAGTCATGTTAAACAACACGCAACACACCCCTAGCCAAAGTGCAGGAAATTGCATAACTGAGAAATAAATGTACAGCAGATTGTCTTTTTAAAATCAGAGTTTGTATAGTGTCTAGCACAATGAAAAGCTGAAAGTTGCAGGGCAAAAGCAACAATAATAGATTCAGAGTTAAATATAAATTTGAAGTTCAATTTTGGTTTAAAAACTGGCTAATTACTGTACCTGCCTCAACTCTTTATCGACCTGTTGTGATATTAATCACATTTTCCTGTTTTTAAAAAAGTTTCTCTCCTCTGTTACTTTGTTATGGACCTACACGGGGAAACAAACTATAAAGTATTGTCAAATGCACAAAGTACACACGTTTTTACAGTAATTACAGTAATACTAGGTTTTACTTGCAACAATAATAGGTAAATAAAATTCCTACAGGAATAATGTTTAAATTGGGTGGATGGACTTTTTTGATCTCTATACAATGCTCTGGAAAACACAATAAATACAACTTTAATGTATAGGGAGGGCAAGCTAGTAGGGCTCTAGATGCCTTAAAAAAAAACAAAAAAACCCAAAAGGACTAGACAAAATGTTAGTCCAACAATAGATTGATTAAGTCCTTGCCTCTTCACCCACAGTCACCCTTTAAGGAGTCTGATTAAGTGAAAAGAGAGTGTTCAGAATACAGCAGTACAGTTTCAAAAGCTGAATGTTTCAAAAGCTGTAACTTTCTAGTTTTCTCTTTTTAATTTAAATTCTTAGGTAGGTGTTTTAGACACACCATCATTATACATTTGCTTAATAAGCTAAAGCTTACAGAACTGGCTGGGGCTGCAACAACTCAGGCACACAGTTTCAATACATCCGGATGAATAGCAACGGGTATCCTGAAAAAGGTTCTAATGTTATTTTGTTTCTGTCCTTCAAAGGCAATCCTAGTCATTCTATACTTAGGTTTGATCATCAGATACAATACAAAAATACTAATATATTTGAGTAGATAACTCAATCTCTGTCACTGAATCATAGAATCATAGAATCATAGAATATAAGGGTTGGAAGGGACCCCAGAAGGTCATCTAGTCCAACCCCCTGCTCAAAGCAGGACCAATTCCCAGTTAAATCATCCCAGCCAGGGCTTTGTCAAGCCTGACCTTAAAAACCTCTAAGGAAGGAGATTCTACCACCTCCCTAGGTAACGCATTCCAGTGTTTCACCACCCTCATAGTGAAAAAGTTTTTCCTAATATCCAATCTAAACCTCCCCCACTGCAGCTTGAGACCATTACTCCTCGTTCTGTCATCTGATACCATTGAGAACAGTCTAGAGCCATCCTCTTTGGAACCCCCTTTCAGGTAGTTGAAAACAGCTATCAAATCCCCCCCTCATTCTTCTCTTCTGCAGGCTAAACAATCCCAGCTCCCTCAGCCTCTCCTCATAACTCATGTGTTCCAGACCCCTAATCATTTTTGTTGCCCTTCGCTGGACTCTCTCCAATTTATCCACATCCTTCTTGAAGTGTGGGGCCCAAAACTGGACACAGTACTCCAGATGAGGCCTCACCAATGTTGAATAGAGGGGAACGATCACGTCCCTCGATCTGCTCGCTATGCCCCTACTTATACATCCCAAAATGCCATTGGCCTTCTTGGCAACAAGGGCACACTGCTGACTCATATCCAGCTTCTCGTCCACTGTCACCCCTAGGTCCTTTTCCGCACTGGATTTCTTCTGAATTAATTTAGAGAGAACAACTGAAAATGTACAAGAAAGCAAGCTTCTGCAGACAGCAGCAGAATGAATTGGACGCCCAAATAGATCATTTCCACCTTTGGTGTCAATGACTTCTGAAAAGTTCTCTAGAACTGTTGCACTATTATATGGTGATGGGAGCATATAAATACCTAGACAGAGGTGCTTGCATGTCAAATTCTGAAAGTAAGTGCTCAAAGGTTATTTCAGCTACCAAAAAAGGAATTTAAAGAAGGTAAATTAAACAGACTACCAGAAAGATAAGAACACAGCCTTAATGTTTGCTAAGGCCCATAGGACTACTATGATAATTGTATGGTTCAGCTTGTAGTTTATTGCTATAGCTGTCCACTTTGTTTACCAAGTGTTTTAGTGGCCTGGGTGGGCTGACCATCAGCTTCAGGTGAGCAGAATGAAAATAAATTTAAAAAAAAATTAGGTGAATGAAAGGAGTACATTTCCTTCCCCCAATTCTGTCACACCCCCCTCTGAAAGTTACTTCCTCAAATGTCTCCCCTCTCTCTTCTCACCCCCCCCCCACCTTTGGGGGGGAGGGAGGGGAGCTTTTGGTCAGAAACAAAGCATGGAAAATTTCAACACAAAAATAATTTAAGAATTAAATAACCTTGTGAAACAGAAAAATCTGCATCATGCTAATGCCAGGGTATGCTGTGCATGCACAGTAGCCAGCTGCAAAAGCTGCCCTGCGGCTTGTATTATGGCCTGTTTGAAGACAATTCCAGTCTTTAGGAAGGGGCTACATTCCAAACCATCTGAGTACGTCTGCATGCTAACCACTAATATAGGGCAGAGTTCATACCATTTGGAGGGGGTAGGCGTGACACTGAGCCAGAACATGTTGAACAACTAGCAAGGTAAATGACCAAATTCAACCTTTAAAGATATATTTTAAAAGTATATAAATGTTAGATATTTATAAGGAATGGCCCTAATTACCAAAGTCACGTTAGATAGACTACAGCAGTGGTTCCCCAACGTATTCCACCACTTGTGCGGGGAAAGCCCCTGGTGGGCCGCGACAGTTTGTCTACCTGCCGCGTCTGCAGGTTTGGCCGATCACAGCTCCCAGTAGCCATGGTTCGCTGCTCCAGGCCAATCGGAGCTGCTGGAAGCAGTGCGGGCCGAGGGACATACTGGCCGCTGCTTCCAGCAGCTCCAATTAGCCTGGAGCAGCAAACCGCAGCCACTGGGAGCCACGATCAGCCGAACCTGTGGACGCGGCAGGTAAACAAACCGGCCCGGCCCAGCCCGCCAGGAGCTTTCCCCACGCAAGCGATGGAACAAGTTTGGGAACCACTAGACTAGAGCTTTGAAATGCAAACTGGTATTTTTAGAGAATTGGAAAAAGATACTAATTGTATTTGTGTTTACCTATCTCTTTTTAGATGTTATGTAACCAGCCAGTCTCTGGTACTATCTGCTATTGATTCAGAGCTCAAAAGGGAATATTAGCATTTAGATGAAACTTCATGGAAGTTTGTAGTAAATTTTCTATGAACTAATTAATGGATAATTACTTTATGCTGATGAATGCAACTATTATCTGTATATACATAGGAAACAGAGGTTTTACTTCAAAGTCACAATGCTCTTCACCTAAGGAATGCCTGCTGTCAAGAGGCTATCAATGTTTTGCCAGAGATCTATAAAAGAACTAAGGCCCTGATCCTGTTATCTCAGATCTGCTTAAGCTTGGTCAGTGGAAGCTTGAGACACAAAACTGAGGTCTCCAGTGCCAGTCTGGATTACCCTATTTTTCATGGAAGAATTTATACAGACTCTGCATATGGACTTGCCTATTGGATTATAGCCTACAGAACTGATTCTGAAAGAACTTTTTGCAACTCAGCAGCTCACCATCTCTAACGTGAAATTGACCTAAAAACTTTATAGACATGTTATATATGAATAATGATCTTTTAACCACAATACTCTCTCTTTTCTTTTTAAATAAAACTTAGTTAATAAGAATTGGCTGTAAGCATGTATTTAGGCAAGTTCTGAAATATTCATTGACCTGGTGGGTAATGTATCCCATTCCTTGGGATTGGTAAAACTTTATATGTGATCAAAAAGATTTTCAGTAATCCTCATCATATTTGAGTGGCTGTCTGGGTGGGAGCCCCAGGTTGGATTGCTTTAAGGGAGTTGTGGTTTTGGCTTCTGGGACACCAGTAAGGTATAGTAGAAGCTGTTTTGTTGCTGGCTTGGTGAACTGAATCATTAGAATAACCACCAGTTTGGCGGATAGTCTGCCCCATTCTCTGCAGTTTGTCCTAATTAAGCAATCTCAGTGTGGCCCCTCCAGGCAACAAGGGTCACAATCTGTCTCTTATTTTAGTTAAATTGAATCTTTCCCTCCTCTTCCCCGACAGCACAGACAGATGAAGGGTGAGGGCTGCCCTATAATATGGAATGGCAAGAAGAATTTACTAATTGGGTCTGATCTAACATTAAGTGTTAATATGAAGAAGCTGTTGGGGACAGGTTTATAATGCAACAGAACTAAAAAGACAGCATTTCCAGCCTCCATGACCTCCAAACTAAGCAGATGGTTGCAAAACAGATTTAGTTTAATGCAACACACAAATGACTCAAAAAGAAAAAGGAGGACTTGTGGCACCTTAGAGATTATTTGCGCATAAATAAATTTGTTAAATTTGTTAGTCTCTAAGGTGCCAAAAGTCCTCCTTTTCTTTTTGCGGATACAAACTAACACAGCTGCTACTCTGAAACACAAATTACTGTTCCATATACCTGACTAACAAGATCTGTTATGAAAAAAAGTATACCTTGAAGTCAGATGGCATAAGTCTAGTTTCAAAATATTATATCCTTCATTTTGACAGTAGCATATTGCTTAATTATATTTTTCCTAAGAAATGTCTCTGGTCCCACCCCAAGAATGAGATCCGATTGTCTGGCAGAGCAGGGATGTTTCACACAGTTTACACTTCTTAAACAAACCACTAGTGAATAACAGAGACGAGGTGGGTGAGGTAATATCCTTTATTAGGCCAACTTCTCTTGGTGAAAGAGAAGCTTTCGAGCCTACAGAGCTCTTCTTCAGGTCAAAGCTTATCTTTCACTAACAGAAGTTGGTCCCAGGGCCGGCTCTAGGTTTTTTGCCACCCCAAGCAAAAGTAGTTTTGCTGCCACCCCACCCCCCTTTTTTTTTTGGTTTTGCACTTTGCAATTTTGTTTTGGTTTGGGTTTTTTTGACTGTTTAAAATTAAAAAAAAATGAAAAGAGAATTTGTAGTTTGTTTTATTTCACTATTTCCTACTAGTGTATTCATTTAATTTTAACAATCACAATTACAAACAATTTGAGTTCATCTATTCACTGTAATGAAAAAACATTAGTCTTCCAGTGTGCCCAGTTTCTCATAAATTAAAAGAATTTATATGAACTGAATTTTTCTGGTTTTTATACTTGCATAGTCTTAATAATTCAGTGAAATCTAAATTTTTTGCAATGGTGCTTTCAACTGAAATTAATGAGAGTCCTGACAAACAATTTTGAGACATGGTGGACCTCAAATAATTTTTTAGTAATTTCAGTTTTGAGAAACTGCACTCACCAGAAGCCACTGATACTGGTAATGTTAAAAGAATGTGTAATGCTATAGCAGTGTTTGGAGTGAGGTGCTCAGGGCTGTACATACCGCCCATGGGCCCCCAGCCTGATCTCAAACCCGGCCCACCCCCGCAGAGGGGACAGTAACCAACAGAGCAGCTGGGGGGCGGGTCAGCCGTGGGGAAGGGGGCAGACCAGGGGTGCCCGCCCAGCACCAAGCCACCTGGGGCAATGGGTCCTGTCCTGATTCCGGGCTCCACACAGGCTCCTCCACCGCTTGTGACACATGCGGCGGGGTGAGGAGGAGCAGCGTCGCCCTGCTCCCCCGGCGGCAGGGGGCCAGGGCTGGGCCCGCCCCCAGGCCGGGCCCCCTGCGCTGAGCTCACCGCCCTGCCCCACGCAGGGGCTCATTGGTTGACTGAGCGGGGCCAGGGGGAAAAATAAAGGATGGCCGGAATGCTGCCCCTGGAAATGTGCTGCCCCAAGCACGTGCTTGCTTTGCTGGTGCCTTGAGCCAGTCCTGGTTGGTCCATTAAAATATATTACCTCACCCACCCCATCTCTCTAATATGGTGGAACCAACATGGCTACAACAATGCTACAAACACAAATGAATTATCAGCAGTGATATATATTGAACTTGTAATTCTTCTCATTCTTACCAACATTTCAAGTGTCTATGGAGTTTTTCAAATCCTTGTGTACTAAAGGATAGTCTTCAAATACAATGTGGTGGCCATCAGACCTCCTCCCTGAAAAAAAGATTACTCATTTCGTCGACAGTTAGGGCTTGTCTACACTGGCAATTAAAGCACTGGAACTTTCTTTTTCAAGAGTGTGAAAAAACACACCCCTGAGCACAGCAAGTTGCAGCGCTGTACAGCGCCAGTGTAAACAGTGCCCCAGCACCCCTTGTTGAGGTGGGTTTTTATATCCTTATTGAGGTTGTTTTTTTATATCCTGCGCCGTCACCACACATTGGTCAGTGTAGACTAGCCCTTAAAATGAAGTGCAGTCAATGCCAAAAGATTTTAAGTAGCTCAAGGCATACCAGGACCCTCTGCCCAAGTTGTGTTTCTGTGATCACTTTACTCTAAAGCGTACAGCTAGGGTTGTTTGCTGATTCATCTTTCTGTTGTGGTGTCTCATATCCTCCAAACTGAGACTGAAGCAGGATTACAGTGCTCAAGGTAATATGGTAAGATTTGCTAACTACCCCCTATAGGACTTGTACTCAAAACTAAGGATTTGTAAAACACAGAGAGATAAATTGGGATGATTGGGCAGAAACTTAACAGCCACAGACAGTAAAGTTTATTCAGCAGCAAGGAACCTTTATAAATACAAACCAAACAACACAGTCCAAAGAATGAACAAACTTCCGCAAGACCAAGCATCAATCCAAGCTTCAGAACCTTCCCTACATACACGCTCCTTCTCCTGTCCCTCCAGCAGCATTTCATATGCCCTTCCCTTTTCCAGGGGTGTTCAGTGGATGGGAAAGGAAAGATAGTGTTTCTTTGTGTGTACTGGGGACTCAGTAGTGACCCTGCACCCAGTCACAAAAACAGATACGCTTACAGCATGAAAAAAACACCCATGACTAGACTGTTGGTCAAAGTCACTCAGCTTCATATGAACTACAGCTGTAATTCAGGAATCACATCAATACTCTTGGTACTAAAATACTCTCCTCTACCATTGTAGATCCTGGAATTACTACAATGTGAAGATTATTTACTGGTGGTTTTAGTACCTACTGCCAATCAGCAGCCTTATGAACCTATTGCCAACCAAGAGACCTACATACAGACACTTTCTAGCCAATAGTGACTCATCAGCCATCCGTCTGTTCAGTACCAACCCCTAAGAAAAGCTCAGATACTTCACTAGCATGCAATTTTCAGGAACAACAAGCAGAAAGGTTAAATATAATCTAATCAAAATGACTGTTGAGAGATTAAATGCAAGGAAAAGCTTCCTAACAGTAAGAGCAATTGTAGAATGGAACAACAGCCAAGAGGTCATTGAAGCACAATCTATGGAAACATTCAAAAAAGGATTAGCCAAACACTCAGAAGAACAATTTAGGGGAAAACCTGCACTAGATACTAAGTGGGAAATTGTAACTTCTGACCAATCTTTCTGGCAAGCAGGTTAGGTTTATTATGCACCTTTTGTTTTGAAGAGGGAAACTGACAAAAGATTTAAAGTATACAATTCTGACATCTTGTTATTTTAAGAAGTTTGTAGCACACACCACACCGTATTCATTCAACATGAGGAACAGTCCGGTAAGGTTTCGACATTGCAGATCAGGCTGAGCACGATAAAAACAAGTTAACAGTGTTGGGTACTTCCAGATGCAAAGCTGCCTCCTTCCCCGTGCCCTCCGCCCTTTTTTTTTTTTTTTTTTTTAAGTTAGTTCTACTGTGCTGTTCATGGAGCAACAGTATCACTGGAAAGGTCAAATCAGAAATAGCATCAGGACCTAAGTTCCCTGTAAGCTGTGCAGCCGTGCGGCCAGGCAGCAGCTTATTTAGCACCGGACAGGCACTCAGGCAACCTACCCAGGAACCTGCATATCGTCCCCTGGACCCCAATCTGCCACAGCTGGGGCGCCCCTCCCCCAACTCAGTCTGAGGCCTGGCCCCAGGCCTGACCTGACCCCAGAGTGACCTGGACCCAGGCTGGGGCTGCAGCTGGGGGAGGGGCATCTATCCTGCAGCCCCAGCAGTAGGGATAGGCACCTCCTCCCCCCAACCCAGATGCTGCGGTGGGGAGTCTTCTGTACCCCAAACCCCTCAGCCCCACCCCAGAGCCCACATCCCCCGCCGGAGCCCTCACACCTCTGCACCCCAACCCTCTGCCCCAACCCTAAGCCCCCTCCCACACTCCGAACCCCTCGGCCCAACCCCACCACATGAATTTTGTTATGTGTACCAATATGAAGGTGATGTGTCACACATCACCTCCACGTTGGTGCATATAACAAAATTCATTCCACACATCGGTGGGAAAAATTAGAAGGAACAGCGATCAGGACATCCATGTGAAAAAGATGCATCACCTATTTAAAATTTGAAGTGTGAATTCAGTTGCTTATAAACGTCTCTTCACATTTTAGACTAGAGACGGAAAATGAATATGCTCTAAGAACCCTATCCACTGTGTAAAGATATACTATGGTCATAGTCCAACTGATTAACCTGAGAGTTGTGCAGACTGACTAAGCTCAGCATACACAGACTGTCAACTAGGCACAAAAATACAGACAAAATTAGACTGTGAGGTAGTTCAGCGATTATGATCAATTTGCTGGTCTCATTTTTAAAATAATCCATGACAGATATTAATTACATTTTTTCCACTAAGATTTGCTAGTGAAGT